GGGCACCAAACACACAACGCCTCCAGATATACCATAAGCAAAGAAAAAGATATGAACTATAAGCCCAACGTACCTCAGTAAACACAGAAATACACCAACTATGGGTGTAAGTCTATATGTGTCTAAGCAATTATAAATATAAATTCATCTGTTATTATTATTTCCTTTTTCCTCTCACTGCAAAAAGCAGTTCATCATCATCATCATCATTATCACAGTGGAAGCTCAGGCGCACACAGAGAGAGTCTCCAAGAACACACACACACACAATGGAGTAGCAATAATAATAATTATTATAGGATAAACACACAGAGAGCAAAAACACACACAAAACACATTAACATTAAGAAACAAAAAAAAAAGTAAATCCCAACAGGTGAAAGATTAGTTAGAGTGTAGTGTGGATGCGTGCAAAAAAAAGAAAAAGAAAACAAAGGATGACCTGAGTCACACCATCACCACCATCACAATCAGCACACAAGAATACAGGCCAGTGTAACCACAATCAGTAGTGGTACACGCACCCACACAGTACTGCTGATACTGCTGCTGCTGTCTGCATCACCCTTCTTGTTGTTTGTGAGTTCAGGAGGAAGTGTTGTTGTTGTTGTGGTGGTGGTGGTGGTAGTAGTGGTATCTGTATTTCCTATATCATCTGTGTTGTTTGTTGATTCACTTCCCTCAGTTGTAGAACCATTCACAGTACCAGATTGTCTGTCTTTACCTCCTTGAGACTGTGCATTATTACTGCTGTCTCCATCATTAGTACCCGGTCCTGTTGTGACTGTATTCTCTCCGCTTTGTGCATCTTGTGTGTCCTTGCCCTCCTCTTTTTCTCCGGGCGTTTGCGTGTCTTCTTCAGTTCCATGCACGCCTTTAGTGGATGAAAGTTCAGGTAGTTTTGGCTTCTGTCCACTTTGTCCAACTGTTCCAACTGGATCTGTTAATAAATGTTGTGCAGGAACAGATGAGGACGAAATAGTGGAATCTCTTTCTCCTGTAACCCTTGAATGTTCAGGTGATCCGCTGATTTCTGATGCTACAGTCTGATCCACATTCTCTCTCATTACTGCCTTATCATCTCTCCCAGGGCTACCACCTCCTGGGAGTTTCCCTTCCATGTCTTCTAGAGAAATATCCCCCGGATGCTTGGAACCAGACCCACCAACTAATCCGCCTGTATCAGTGGATGTATTGCCACTCGAAGAATTTGGAGTACCAGGACTTTTATGACCCCTTCTCCTCCTCAACTTCATCACCATCATCTTCCAGCCCCAAATCCGACAATAGAGCATCACCTTCGTGATCCTCAGAAGGGATAATAAACGCAGGAACGGCACGACGAACAAGAGAAGGAACACCAACAGTAGAAGGTTTAGGATTATCAGCCCATACCAACCCACAAGCACAACAAAGTGTAAGAGTTAGTAAAATGAACATGTAGCACCTCACCATTGTAGCCTTTGCCATTGCTGTTGTTTTACTTCAATAGACTAATACAAGAAAGAGGACCAGAAGGAAAGAATTGTGATAGAAACAAACAAACAGCAATACAACAAGTACTCACAGTGGAAAAGAGAGAGAGATAGAAGCAGCACCTGTACAGTAAAGCAACAAAAAGAAATATTCCTCTTGTATGATAATAATATATACCCCTTAATAGAAAAGAAAAGATCCCACAATACCCAAATAAGAGAGAGAGAGAGCCAAACACACACACAATACCCCACGGCTCTAGTTTATGTATTAAATTACTGCACACACACATCTGTGTGTACTAGCAAGAGATGTATACCGTCAGTGGGCAGAACAGCCCAGTTTTCTGCAAACACACACAACAGTAAAAGCAAGCAATGGAATTATTAGAAAAAGGAGAAACACACAAAAGTAAAAGAAAAAAGAAATTCGAATTAAAAGAGAAAGCTGGTAAACAGATTATTAGTTCATTCACCCATGGGGTATATACGCAAATATGGTTATGTTAGTTTAACCATTATTATTATTTGTCCTCAGATGAGACCCACCGTTCAGTACACAGTAGCAGAGACCAACACAGCCACAATCAGTAGCGGTGCTGCAGTGCGCATCCACACAGGAATGACACTGCTGTCAACATTAGCCTTGTTCTTCTGTACAGTGGTGGAGGCAATGGTGTTGATCCCCGCGTTGGGAACAGTAGATGGAGTAGTGGTTGGTGCTTCGCTGGTAGTATTCTCGGTGCTAGCCGGAGTAGTGGAATTGGTTTCTTGTGAGGCTGATGGGGCAGCTGCAGGAGGTTGCTGGGTAGCATTAGAGTCGGCAGGTGTACTGTTATCCCCTGTGTTACTCGACGCTTCTTGGTTAACTTGTCCAGCTGCAGTAGACGCCGGAGGTTGGCCTTGTGTTGTAGTGGCACCATCTGTTGCTTCTGCTTCCTGTTTGTGTTCTTCATCTTCAGTGGCACTAGGAGGCTTTACTCCTTTGCTGTCTTCAATCCCATTTTGTGGTTTTTCTTCCAACACATGATCTTTGGATGGCACCACAACTTTAGGAGGATTTAGTATCGATGGTCCTGCTGCTTGTTCTTGATGACCTCCTTGTTGTTCCATGTTTGTGTCTCCTTGATGTTGTTCCTGATTCTGTGAGGTTAATCCACTATCATGATCCGCCACATTACTTGCCGTCTCAGGAAGTCCCCTCGCCGAACACTTTACGTTATCAACAGTAGTATTAGGGTGCTTACACATATGCTTAATGCTTGCGTNACTACACCTTGCGGACCAGCCGCACGACTAGCATCGTTAACGTCTTTACCATGACCGTTATTTTCTTCTTGAGAAGCAGTTCGCTCATGGTGAACTGCAGGCGCTGTAAGAACTTCAGGTACTTCAGGAGGAACTTTAGGTTTTTTGGGAGGAACAACAGGTACTTTTTTCTCAGGTACAACTTCTTTTGGTACCTCAGGTACTTTAGCAGGAGGACCTTCTTTCTTTTGAGCACACTCCTTATTTTCAGGACCTTCAGGAGCATCAAGGCAATTTGCTTCACTCTCCGTATCAGGGACTTGGTCGGAAAGATCGGCGGCAGGCACTTCTTCAGCGAGGACGTGCACACACGCACATGAGAGCAGGAGAGTGATGATACACAGCACGTAGCGCATCATTACCATTACAATACTTCTTGCAGTAGTCTTACTTCAATCGCTTACAGAAAAAACAAAACCGGATAGAAAAACAGAAAGAAAATGAATCAATGAATAAACAAGAAAATAAGACTACACACCAAATCAAGCAACAATCAATAATTACAGCAGAAGCACCCACATGAAAAAAAGGTACAACCATAACTCATATAATACCCAAATAAAACGAACAACCCACACAGTAGCCAATACCAAACAGATAATCCCAATTAACCCCTCAAAAGAAAAATAAATGAAAATTAAAGAGCACAACCATCAAACGTAGACAGCACAGAAATACATCAAAATGCCTCTTCTGGTCGAACCAAGCACAATTACAAATAAATACGGGTATTCCTTATTATTTTCTCCACACAAACAGTCCAACACACAACAATGCAGGAGAAAGCACACAGCGCCCAAGAAAAAAAATAATAATAAAAAAACACAAATTAACAACACAAACTGCACAAAAATAACTCACAGACCACTGAGTATGCTGTTGTGTTCAAGCACATAAGAATGCAAATTGTATTAACTACTATTTTTTTTTCTTTGCTCTGCAGAAAGCAAACTACCACAGCAGTGCAGGGGAAAGCACACAATGACCCAGCAAACGACAAGCAAACAAAAGATATTAATCATTAGCCCAATTTACCCAGTAAACATAGAAATATACCAACTATGGGTGTAAGTGTATATGTGTGTATATACGCAATTATAAATATAAATTCATCTGTTATTATTATTTCCTTTTTCCCTCACTGCAAAAAGCAGTTCATCATCATCATTATCATAGTGCAAGCCCAGATGCACACACACAGAGAGAGTCTCCAAGAACACACACACACACACAATGGAGTAGCAATAACAATTATTATAGGATAAACACAGAGAGAGCAAAAACATACACAAAACACAGATTAACATTAAGAAACAAAAAAAAAGAAGAGGAATCCCAACAGGTGGAAGATTAGTTAGACTGTAGGGATNCACAGCCCCACGGGATACACCACGGCCACTGGGACTGTCATTATCAACAGCAGCAGCAGCCGCCATGGTATACCCGCAGGCACAGCACAGCACAACGGCCAACACACACATCACACAGTGCATCATCATCATGAGAGAGACAATAGTTTGGTTTGCGTAAAAACACTGATCTAGAAAGAAAGAGAATCAAAAAAACAAAAAAGCAAAATAAATGAAGTATCAAACATGTTAGGACACACAAAGCGATTACCACTATGGAAACTCACATCGTGAAAAGTAATACCTACCATTTAAAGAATGCAATACAGCGCAAATAACCTCAGTAAGAGTAAAAACGAAAACAAAGTAACGCCCATACTCACAATTAGCGCAAAAAAGGCTTAATGCCAAAGCAAAACCATCAAGCAAAGAAACACATATTAACCATTAGCCCAACTTACCCAGTAAACACAGAAATATACACCAACTATGGGTGTAACTCTATATGTATTTAAACGCAATTATAAATATAAATTCATCTGTTATTATTATTTCCTTTTCCCACTGCAAAAAACAGTTCATCATCATTACAGAGGAAGCCCAGGTGCACACAGAGAGAGTCTCCAAGAACACACACACACAATGGAGTAGTAGCAATAATAATAATTATAGGATAAACAAAGAGAGCAAAAACACACAAAACACAATATCATTAAGAAACAAAAGAAAAGAGAATCCCAACAGGTGGAAGATTAGTTAGACTGTAGTGTGGATGTATGCAAAAAAGAAAAACGAAAACAAAGGATGACCTGAGTCACATCACACCACTATTACAATCAGCACACAAGAATACAGGCCAGTGTAACCACAATCAGTAGTGGTACACGCATCCACACAGAACTGCTGATAATGCTGCTGCTGTCTGCATCACCCTTCTTGTTGTTTGCAGGTTCAGGAGGAAGTGTTGTTGTGGTGGTGGTTGTTTCTGTATTTCCCACATTTCCTTCTTGGTTAATTGGTGACTCACTTCTTTCAGATGTACTGCCCTTTTCAGTCGTTGCACTATTAGAACCACTGTTACTCTCTGTGGCTGAATTTCCGGGAGAAGGAGAAGTTTGTGCAGCTTCACCTGCAGAGGCAGTACTGATCCCACCAGCAGGTGTAGAAGATGTAGTGGGAGGAGCAGCAGGTCCAATAGAAAGGCCATCTAAATGTTCACCACCATCATCTGCATGACCTTGTGCACCGTGAGGAGTAGTGCGGTCCTGTGTAATCCGACCAGAGTCCCTTGCAATAGTTTGAGCATGATTACCAGTAGCTTCACCATCAATAGAAGTCTTGTGATCACCAGGACCAGTAGAAGGAACAGGAGATGGTGGTGGTGGGTAAGGATGAGGAGGAGGAGGAGAACATGTTATACCATCCAAAGGAGTGGAACCATTAAAGCAAAGAACATCAGGAGCAAGATCGAGACTAACACGATTATTCTCTTTCTTTTTATCTTCCTTTTCATCATCTTTACGAACATCTCCAGAAGCAGGAATAGCACGACGAACAAGAGAAGGAATACCAACAGTGGAAGTTTTAATAAGGGCATCAGAAGCTTTAGGACTATCAGCCCATACCAACCCACAATCACAACAGAGTGCAAGAGTTAGTAAACAAAGCAGGTAGCACCTCACCATTACAGCCTTTGTCATTGTTACTGATTATTTCACTAGACTGATACAAGGAAGAAAAAGGAAGAGAAAGATTTAATTGAGAAAGAAACAAAAAAAAAACATACAACCATACAACCAATACTCACAGTGGAAAAGAGAGAAGCAACAAGTGCACAGTAAAGCAACAAAAAAGAATATCCAGCTTGTATGATAATATATTCCCCTTAATAGAAAAGAAAAAAAAAAAACACCCCACAATACCCAAATAAGAGAGGGAGCCAAACACACACACACACTACCCCATGGCCCTAGTTTATGTATTAAATTACTGTGCACACACACATCTGTGTACTAGCAAGAGATGTATACCGTCAGTGAGCAGAACAGCCCAGTTTTCTGCAAACACACAACGGAAAAAGCAAGTAATGGAATTATTAGAAAAAAGAACACACACATAAAAGTAAAAGAAAATGTATTCGAATTGAAAGATAATACTGGTAAAAAGATTATTAATTAATTCACCCATGGGGGGATGTACGCAATTATGATAATGTTAGTATTACCATTATTATTATTATTAACCGTCAGATGAGTCCCACCGTTCAGTACACGGTAACGGAGAACAACACAACCACAATCAACAGCGGTGCTGCAGTGCGCATCCACACAGGATTGACACTGCTGTCAACATTAGTCTTCATCTGCATAGTGGGAGCGATCTTGTTAATCTCTGAATTGGGTACAGGAGATGGAGTGTTGGTTGGTGCTTCTGTGGTAGTATTTGTAGTGGTGGCCGGAATAGTGGTATTTGGATCTTGTGAGTTTGATGCGGCAGTCACATCAACAGTTGCAGAAGATGGTTGCTGGGAAGTATTATGGTCGACAGGTGTAGTGTTCTCAGGGCTCGGCGTAGTAGTGGAATTGGTTTCTTGTAAGCTTTGTATTGTATTTTCTGACTGTGGTTGTGGCTTCTCTTGGTTAGAATCAACACCTTCAGCTGAGTGTCTGTCTGAAGTTGCTGATGCTGTTACCTGTGAATCTAAATCACCTGTTGAAGACGTACTCCCAACAGCCTCAGTTCCATCGGGTAAACTCCCATTTGTCGTGGGCACATTTTCATTATCCCCATCTGTAGAATTACTACTCTTCTCTTTAGTGGTGTCGTTATTAGCTATCGTAGGGTCACGTCGATCATCTGATGGTGGGTGTTCGTGTTGTTGTGGTAAATCTTGTCCCACATCAGTATGCGTGACAAGATTCTGAACACCCTCTGACTTCATTACTGAATCCTCAACAGATGTTGGCTCGCTGCCAGGTGCAGGAGCAGCATCTGGTACTTTTTCCTCAGGAACCAACGTTTTTGGGGCATCAGTTACTTTAGCAGGACCAGCATCACCCATCGCCACTGCATCACCACGAGGGGGTTCCGGCTCCGTCGGATTTTTTTGAAGTTTACCTTCTTGGGGTTTCTTACATTGGGTATCAACTGTGGGTTCTTCTGGCCTATTTTTAATAATATCTGTATCCGTCACGCCGGGGTGATACACGGTGGGCTTCACACTGTCAACACCACCCCAAAGTTTATTACTTTCATAAAAAGCCATCACCGCCTTTGGCTGTCCAGCATTA